GGCTGCTTCCTGAGAGAGATGGCTCTCTCTTGGAGCTGGATGAGCAGCCGCAGGGGCTCTGGTGGCAGTGACATTGTTGTAAAATGGTTTCCAGTGTCTCTGTTCCAGTGTATTGCTGAGGCCTGGCGGGGGGAAAACCCCAAACAAACTACAAAACCTGAAGTCTGTGAGCAGTGACCATGATAGATGAGCCTGGAAAAGTGTTCTTCTCCTTGCTGGAAGCTCTCTCTTGGAGCTGGATGAGCAGCCGCAGGGGCTCTGGTGGCAGTGACATTGTTGTAAAATGGTTTCCAGTGTCTCTGTTCCAGTGTATTGCTGAGGCCTGGCGGGGGGAAAACCCCAAACAAACTACAAAACCTGAAGTCTGTGAGCAGTGACCATGATAGATGAGCCTGGAAAAGTGTTCTTCTCCTTGCTGGAAAGGGGAGCAAACTGTGTTCCTTCTGATTTGGATGTTTTCGGACCTTGATCACAGATGCCAAAATACAAAAATCCATTCTGGCTCCATCCTTTGAGCTACTCGCCCCTTCTGATCCGCTACCTGGGGCTGTTTCGACTGGCTTGAACCTGGTCTGCGTTTGCTAAAGGTAACATCTTGTCTGACTGTCCCATGGATCTGCCAGGGACAGAGCTGGGACTCTGAAAGCTGCTCAGAGCATTGAGGATGTGGTAGGAACAGTGTTTTGGGCTTTGTCCTTCCTTCCCAGTTGCTGGAGGAATGTTGGGGAGCGCCAAGGCCTTCTCCCCAGCCTTGGTGGTGTCTCTGGCTCCACCAGGACACGGTTGTCAATACTGTGTCCCTTGGAAGCTCAGACTTGAATTTAAAATGAGGAGCTCAGATGCATGAAGGAAACAAGTGGAAGGACCTGGGAGCATCTGGAGAGCATGGGAAGCCCTGGCTCTGCAGTGCCTTCAGTGCTGGGTGGGCTGTGCAAGAGTGGGTGGCTGGATGGAGAGACTACACGGACTTGGGGCTGACTTTGCTGGGTCATAGGGTGGAAGAAAGGAGATTTTTTGGGATTAAGATGGTATATCCAATAGATTATATTTCTGGGGACCTGGGAAAAGGGGTAGGTGGGAGACACAGCAGTGTATAGATGAAGGAAAAGGAGAGCCCTGCAGAAAAGGTGCTGTGGGAGCCCAGATGTAAAGGCTTAAAGGGGTGCTAGAGTAGCCCAAGGGGGCCACCAGGGAAGGGATTTTATAGGATAGTGTTTCCCTGAGCAGGCAGTCCCTTAAGTGGAGGACTTCAAACAGCATTCATTGTGACAGGGTGGCTGTGCAGGCAGCAGGGAGTCTGGTGCTACCCGAAGGCAAGCTGTCCGAAAAAAACAGTATGTGCTGACTTAGATAAAATAATAAAAACTGAAAACCTCTTGCTGGTGTGTGGGTTTCTCTGGAGGGAGCTGGGGTTGTAGGATCATGAATAACCTCCCTGATTTATTTCAGGACAATCAGGAATACAAACAGTGCCTTCCAGCTTCCTCTCCAAGGGGGTTGCATGCTCAGGGGTCTGGGGCTGCATTACCCACCACTTCCCAGCCCTGCCAGGTTCCCCTCGGAGGTGACACCCTCGCAGCACTGGCTGGGGATGTGATGTGGGAGTTTTTGAAGGGCAACATAAAAATCTTTCAGGCCCAAACTAAAGCTCTTGGTGTATCCCAACACAAATTAAGCTGAGTTGGGGTTTGGACTGGTGGGAGTGAAGCATGGTCACTCTGGGGTTCCTCCATCTCAGTCCTGTTGTGTCCTACAGCAGCAGTGGGCCTGTGTGCAGCCAGGGCTTTCTGGCTCCATAGCCAGTTCTGAAACAGGAGAGAACTGGGAGCAGCTCCTCTTTTGTGCTGTGACTGAAGGTCCTTTGTGGTGAGAACTTACTTGCCTTTTCTCAGCTCTGTCTTACACCCAGCAGCACTCCTGAGGGTACCTGGAAGCACTGACTCAGCAGGGAGACTAGCTTGGACTTGAAAAGAGGGTCAACCTTCTCCCAAGGCTTTTACAGAAAGGAAAGTCTCACCATGTAACATAATCCTAGGGAGGGGAGCACAGTGCCAGGGGCACCCCTGTACCTGGGAGTGGGTGTGCTCGAGTGCAAGTTGGTGCCCTCACACCTGCAGCCTGAGAGCTGTTTCCCTCCCTCGGAGCAGACAGAAGCAGCATGCTCTGCTTGCTGAAAAATAAACATTTATTTACATCCGAAAAGAGAGTTAATGTGCAAAATGGTCTCACTGGGCTTATGTTGATCCAGGCAAACTCCTTGCCTTGCACGTAGCGAAGAGTAAAAGCTGCTCCCTCCCTCCTGGAGCAGCCTTTTCTGGCAGGTAAAGCGTTGCGTGGTAGGACCGACAGACCCGGCAATGCGTCTGTCCTACCGGTGAAGGTGAGAGCAAGGGGACCGGGGTGGTGGTGGCACCTGCTGCTGCTCACAGCTCTTGCTGGAGGGCACCAGGACCAGTCCCAGGTGGGAGCAGCGCACCAGTTGCATGCAGCCATGCGTCAGTGGCATGGCCTGGGACGCTTGGCTGGCAAAGGCAGAGGTGTGGGTGCTCTGGGGCTTCCGAGGGAGCACCGGGCTGCTTGGCAGGGGTGGGCAGCTGGTGCTTTGGCACCTACTGGAAACCAAACACCTTGAACTCCAGCTGTTGCACAGCTGGATTCAAACACCCACCCTTTTGTCAGCAAAACTGTTCCTGAGCAGAGGGTAGTTCCTGCCCAGGACTTCAGGGTTCTCCCTGCTGCCAAGGGGGGGCAGCCAGGCCCTACGCTGGGCTTGGGAGCTGTGGTCTGGCTGATGGTCTCCAAATCCTTCGTTCTCCCTTGTGATTTATTCATTATTAGTAGTTTTGTTTTTTCCCCCCTGCCACCAAAGGAGAAGCAACGCTGCCCTTAACGTGTAGGGTAAATCCAACAGCCGAAGCACTCAAGCGCTGCCTGCCCGCTGCCACGGCTCTGCTCGCTGGGAGGGGGCATCTGGGGGCATCTGCTGCCAGAGGAGCTCCGAGCGGAGGAAAGCTGGTGGTTTGTGCAGGGTGGTGGGTGCTGGTGCCATGTTCTGTATCGGTGGTGAGAAGGTGCAGAAGTGGCACCTTGCTGTGAAGAGGAGCTTTGCAGGGTAACTCTGGGATGGATGTCTCTGAGCCCTCAGGGTGGTGGTGAGATGGCAGGGAGAGCGTGAAGGTGATGGATGCCCTGGGTGGGAGCAGCAGGTGCCTCTCCTGCCGCCCTGATCCTCTCCCGCAGGTGCCCAGGTCCGTGTGGATGGGAAGGGGGTTTTCCCAGGAGCAGGTCTGGTGGGTGCCAACAGAGGTAGCTGCTGGCACACGGGCAGCAGGGGGCACATCTCTCCATGCAGCTTGCCAAGCCCTAGCAGAGTGAGGCTCTTCTGAGAGAGCAGCAAGGTCTGCTATGAGCTGAGGGATGTCCCTTCCAGCAGCTCCAGTGCTCTTAGGAGTGGCACAGCTGAGATGCTGGTCCCAGCCCGGCTGCCCCATGTGGGTGCTGTGCCCCAGCACGGTATCCCTGCAGCCCCCTGTCCTCCAGCCAGGTCCCCATGCCCATGGCGGGCAGCAG